AGTAATTCAAGAATCTAGATTAGATGAAGAAGAACTTGGCCTCAGGATGTGAGGAAGATTCATTAACCATTTATGATATGCAGATGATACATCATTGTTTGCTGAAAGTGAAGAGAACTTAAAATATTTACTGATGAATTCAAAGACCACAGCCTCCCGTATGGCTCGCCTCTCAAAGGAAAACAAAAATCCTCAAAACTTGACCAATAAACAGCATCATGATCAATGGAGAAAAGCCTGAAGTTGTGAAAGATATTTTGCTTGGATCCACAATCAACACTCATGGAATTAGCCGTCAAGAAATCAAATTATGTATTACATTAGAAGAATGTACTTCAATTCTTTAGAGTGTATAAGGGTAAATATGTCAATTTTAGGACTATGGTATGCTTGACTGAAGTCTTGGTATTTTCAATATCTTAATATGTATGTGAAAGTTGGACAGTGAGTAAGGGATACCATAAAAGACTTGATGTGTATGAATTTTGGTATTGTACAATAATATTGAAAGTATCATGGACTGTTAGAAGAACATACACATTTGTGCTGGAAAAATGCTCCTTAGAAGCAACAATGATAAGACTTCATCTCACATACTTTAAACATATTATCAGGTAGGTAAAGCAGAGGGTACACCAAAAAGAGGATGACCTCCAATGAGATAGTTTGGCACAATGGCAGCAGAAATGGGCTCAAGCTTAACAACAATTGTGAAGATGGTTCAGGACAGGGCAGTGTTTTGTTCTGTTGTTCATAAGGTGGACATGAGTCAGAACTGACTCTACAACACCTAACAACTGTATATTCAAGGTTGGGATTTAGTAAATATATATACTATTGCCATTGTCATAAACTCTATGGCTCATGTGATTCAAATGAATTATTTGAATTCCAAGTGTTGCTTTATGACTCCTGGAGTGGCACTGTGGGATCAACACTGGACTGCAAACCACAAGGTCAGCAGTTTAAACCTATCAGCTGCATCTTGGACTCGATGACACAGGGTTGCTATTAGTCAAAACTGACTTGACAGCACGTAACAACAACAGCATGTATGGTTTGCCATAGACACCTTAGAGACCATCCTTAGAGACCATCCTTACAGACCATTACAATTTATCTTTATACCAGAAGGTTTTGAATAGTTCAAGGGTGGGACTGAATATCCTGTATCTACATACTCAGCATGCAGCGCAGTGGGGCCAGAGTTTAGTATCATTTGTATTTTGCATGAAGTTGAATAAAGTATTCACTGTGGTGCTGTGAGTTAATGCACTGGACTGCAAGGTCAGTTTGAACTCCAAGGTCAGCAGCTCAAGTTCACCAACCATTCCTTGGAAACCCTATACAGGGTTGCTATGAGTTGGAACTGACTCAATGGCACTTAACAACAACAACAACATTAAGAAAAGTGAATTAATTTTGAATAGACACATCCAGTAGTTTTTCCCCTACCTGGAGCACTTTGCCTTCCATAGAGATCTGTAAGATCCCATCAAGAAAAAAATCTATGCTTAAATTGTTTTTATTATTAAAGTCATTGGATGGGGTCTAGTATCCCAATGTGGCTCTGTAGGACAAGCAATGGACTGTTAACAAGGTTGGTGGTTCAAATCGCCAGCCACTGCTTGAAAACCCTATACAGGGTCATTTTGAATCAGAACTGATTAGATGACACTTAACAACAGCAGCAACAATTGTCCTGTTGTGGCACTGTAGGATAAGCATTGGATTGCTAACCTCAAGGTTGGCAGTTCAAACTCACCAGCCACTCATCAGAAAACTTATACTGTGTCGGTATAAGTCGGAACATACTCGACGTCACTTAATAACAACAAGAATATTACTTCATTAAATTTTATGTGCAAGAGTAGGACAGAGTATGACAAACTGGTAAATGGATGGTGGGAGCCCTTTTCAGTTAAGTAGAGATCAGATGTCATGGATAATAATTGCAAAATTGGGGCACAGAATAGGTGCAACTTGGCATGATGTTCATCGCAAGTTTCTATTGGTGAAATGGAGACCAGGGAGATTTCTTCTACTGCTTGGTCAGGAGCAACATGGTGGTATCTGCAGAAGTACTCAATACATAGATAGTTGTTGTTGTTAAGTGCCATCGAGTCAATTCTGACCCATAGCGACCCTGTATAGGGTTTCCAAAGATCAGCTGGTGAGCTTGAACCACCGACCTTGCAGTTCAAATGGCTTTGCAGTCTGGAGCATTAACTCACAGAGTCACACCCAGACTCCATAGGTATGTCTTCCCATGTGCCACACTTCTATTGAGAAAATGATCTGTGATGTTTTCAGAAGATGTTTAACTATGCTGGGTTTAGAGCCTAGCATCCTAATAGCAGAAAGACCTGTGTGGTAGTCCTAACCTAAAATTCTTCCAATGATTCATGCCTTCTAGTGTTTAATCCCTGGTACAGTTTCAGTGTGGTCCAAACTTAAAAGAACTGAAAATGGCAAAGGTAATGGGGTGTGAGTTCCAAGTTTAGTGTGTAAAAAACTCTAGCTTTTGTCTTCCTGGTATTCTGTTGATCTTTTACTGATACAATTGGATGGGGGTCAATTGCCACCTTGCCAACTGCTCCAGGAAGAAATCTATGTGTCAAGTTATTTAAGACCTCTGGCCAATAGACTGAGGAAATGAGTTCTATCACAGCCATGTGACTTACCCTGGAAATTAATCCTTTTCAAGGCAAGCCTAAGGACAATGGTACCTTTGAACAATACCTCATTTTAACCTAATAGAACCCTGAAGAATTTAGACAAAGTATGAAATTACCAAACAAAACATGGAAAACAAACAAACAAAAAGCAAACACATAAAAACATGATTTTCTTTCTTTTTTCAGACCATGTGCTGCAACCCTAAAACAACAATAAAAGCTGCCTGGGCGGAGCCCCATGCCAAAGGGGTGCATTTGGCAGAGGATTTGAAAACCACCAGGTTGTATGGCCATCTCCACGTGGTGTGGTGCTTGTAGTATATTGGAGAAGCAGCAAGTGCTGATCCTCAGTGATCATGGGCACCAGGTGTTTAAATGTTGGCTTCTTTTGACTAGCTGTGCAAAGAAAGACAGTCATGGGGAGGTGATTTCGACAATTTACTAGACCTTTCTGTGCCTACATTCCCGCTTCCATGGCTTGTCTAACTGTGACAATACGAGCCAAAGGATATCCAGCACTTAAAAGGAAGCTTGTGGTGGGACTGCAAAATGGTCCAACCTCTCTGGAAAGCAATATGGC